ATTTATATAACAATTTTAGTAAAAAAATGTTTTTAGTAGATTTTGTAACAATACAACTTTTTTTTCCATTATGCAAATAATATTACTTCTCACAGTAAACTTTTTGTGAAATTGAAGAAGTTAGTATTATAAGTTTAGTTTTCTTTAATATAATAACAACGCATTTTTATTAAAAAAAAAACATCGAAAAGAAGGCATTTTTATAAAGAGATAGTAGAGATAGTGATGTAGATTTTACACGTGAAGATAAAACATTGTGACAATGCAATTCAAAAGTTTGTTTCTTTCATTTTTGACTTGATATTTTATTTTTATAACATCTCTCTGGAATTTCTAGTTTTCTAGGTTTATGACAATAACTGTTTTGTGTTCATTTTTTTTAAAAGAATAGCGTACTGATATTTGTTTGATTTGGTTAGACAGGGTCATAGAAAATAAGCTTTTACTTTGACAATGTCATTTTTGGACTCATGATATTTTTTCCTTTGCTTCATGTAAGTTTTTTATAAATAATAACAATAAAAAGACATATCAACATTTTTTGAAACCAATAATTCAAAAATAGCATTATTGAAACCAGAAATTCAAAATAAATATCGGTGGAATCTTATTTTTAAATAAAACTACAACAGGAAGAATTTTTCTCCATAAGATTTTTATAACTAACAAGCAACGTAAAAATCAAGTGAACTAAAATCCGTTTTAAAAGTCACAGTTTTTCTGGCTGTCCTAAACTGCTTTCTCTTATAATCAAAGTATAATTTTTAAAAATAGATGAAGTTATAGAATGCTACATTGAGTTTTCTTTAATTAAAGAGATAGTTGAAGGCGGGATGCTTGTAGAATCCAAGAAAACTTCGACTGCAAAACGTCATTATGCCTTTTATTTTGGTTTTTATGCACGGAAAGAATACTATTTAAATTTATATATTCTGATCCGCAACTTGTGTAAGGTGCAATTTGTATTTTTTTTTTTTATTTGTAGATGAGCAATGGTCTAAAAATTATTTTATAAAATTGTTTTTTATTTAAAATTATCCATTGTATCTTCTTAATTGAAAAAAAACATTCTCTTAACAACTGAGATTGGTTTTCTTTATGTGCATTCTCCTATAAAAATGGCGTCGAAATCTCATATGACTAAACCACCCCTTATGAAAGTCCGTAATTGAAAACAATTTTATGAAGGAAAAAAAAAAAAAATAAGCGTATTAAACAAAAAAATGCGCATTAATTCTACGTTTGTAATTATTTGATTTGTTTATAATCACATTGTTTGGTTTTTATTTAATTTACTTTTTTCAATTTATTTTTATATAAACTATGATAATTTTTATTTTATACAAAAAATATTTTGATTAATTGATACATTAAGTTGATTAATTGATACATGATTAATGAACTTTAATTACGCGAAACAATCATATCAAATATTAACCAGGAGAACTCATCAACCAAAGAAACTAAGCTAGGAATTTTCTGATGAGTGCATAGTTCAATTGTCAACAATTTTTGAATGTCTTTTTTTTTCTTGTTTTAATTTTAAAGTAGCATGACTTTTGGAACTGATAATATTGCAGCAGCAATTTTTTCCTTTTCTTCGAGTGCAACATTCTCATCTAGCAAGGCTAAAGGAATCATAGTTGAGTCAAGATATCATGTGTTTTTAAATAATGAATTCAACACAGCATCAAAAGCAAATGGTTCTGCACATTATGCTTTATACTGATACATTTGATGAATAGCAATTACATCCATAAAAGGAGCTTTTATTTTATCATTTGAATGCAGGTACCACTTTGCATAAAAGAAGCTATAAATTCAGTTATTACCTAATATGTTTTCTATTTTTTTTGAATAAAATCAATTTGAGTTGAAATAATTTGCATTTTTCAATAGTATATAGATTTCCCTAGAAATCTTGCATGATAAACCGCTCCTATTTTTCGAATTTTAATGATAGAAAAAGAAAGGTAGCTGACCACTAACTCAGCTAGTTCTTTTCTGTCTTCCCAAACAATATTATTTCCTAATAAGTAAGGTCTACAATACTCAAGAGATTCTGTAGCAGCTTTTTCAACAACAGTACCTTTAACTTCTTCCCAAGCAAATTTTACTAACAAATATGGGTTGTACTCAAAATTAGGCTGCTCAAATAAGTTTTTGAAATGTTTAAAGAAAGGGTTATAAGGGTCGTAGTTTTTTCATTTGTTATAGTTTCACAAAAGTCTGTAATTATCAACTCAGAAACATGATGTCTACAAGCTAAAAGAATTAGATATTAATTTTACTCAGTTCTTATTAGATATCCTTTGTGTATTCTTGTATTGCTTGATGTGGTATCAAAACAAAGTAATCCAATCTTTGATTCAAGATTGTACTCTTTTAGGAGTTTCATTACACCATTGTATTAATCTGCTCCAGATAAAGAGGTCAATGGCGTAACTCCAAGAAGATGGGACTCATTATCAATAGTTGCAAGAACAGCAAGTCGATCATGCTTTAATTTTTTTCTAATATTAATTTAATAGAGTGTCTTTCCGTAAAAATGTATAATGCATGGGTAGGGAGAAGCTTTGATGCTAAGTTCAATATCTTCTTTAGCAATAACTGCCATTTCATGAGATTTTTGTTTAATCTTTTTATAAGCTGTTGACCTACTGCAATTTACATTTGTAAGATCAACCCCAGAACTATCAAGGATTGCAGCAGTAACTTTTGTCAAAACGTTAGGAGATGTATCAGTAATTGTGGCAATTAGAGCAACATTTCCAGAAATAATATCTTTTGGAATCTCAGCTTTTATTAGACTACTTGACTCCGTAGAACGCCAATATCCTGGGTCAAAATCTAAATCAAAAGATGAACCATTGCTGGTGTCCGTAGTAAATTCTAAATCTGAACTTACTTCCACTGATTTAGCAGCATTTTTTATAGATGAGTTTCTCTTTCTTGTATTCTCTAAAATCTAAACAACACGCATTATAAAATAAAAATTAATGAACCTAAAATAAAAACCAATGTAAAATTAGCGAAGAGTGAGCAATGAGATGAGACTTTTTAAATTAAAGAAAGGGTTATAATATGGATTACCTTCTCGCTATATTTCTTGTATTCAGGCCCTAGAAATAACTTTCTGCTGTGTTCTTGATCGTATAAAAAATCAAGGTCCTCTTTCTTATCTAGGTCTGATCTATTTTTGTCCTTCTTTATCCAGTTTTGTAAGTCAGCTTTTCCTGCCCAAAAGATTTTCCTCAGCTCTTTTCGAAAGTCTTATTGCTTTTTTAACTCTAAATGCGACCTCCTGTGCATGTTTTTTTTCAACTTCAAATGTTTCTTGTTCAACTTATTTAGCTTTTGCATCAAGTTATTATCTGATTGAAGAGGGAATCCAGCTATAAGCAAGAGACCCTTTATCTTGCTTAGAATACACTTACAATGCATTTCAACACACCTCTCATAATTTCTGTCTTTTTTTACAGAGCATGCAAGTATAATTGACTTTTTTGATATTTTAGAAAGCATCGACTGAATAAAAGCTATGTGTTGTAAAATATCTATTCCAGACGCCAATTGATCAACTATTGTTAATAACGCAAAGGTTCAGGTTAAGTTTGTTCTTGTATTACCTGACCTCTTGTACAACCTGACCTCTTGTACAACCTGACCTCTTGTACAACCTGAAATCTTATTAAACTATAATCTTAAATATAGTCCTAAATATTTAAAAAAAAAAAAATCTCAAAACAAATTCGTTACTTGATATTGCTGGTTTCACTTTGTCAATAATAAAATGTTTGTGGTTTTTTGTTTTTATATTTTGCTTTTCATTCCCACTTTTTAATAGTTTCCTACTTTTATTTGCACTTGAAATTGTGACTCTCCATTGTTTTATATTAAATTTTCCATTATAATTTTAAAAACTATTTTAAAAGAAATCATTTTCGCTAATTTAAAAATATGAGATGAAACTAAAATGTTTACTACAGAATTTCGCAATATACATTTATGTCAATTTACAATTGTCATTTTTTTCTTTTTACAATTTTTAAACAGGTAAGAAAACTTTTTTATCAAGCGATAACAAAAGAAAAATGCAAACAAAGTAAACAAATCAAATAACAAAAGAAACATTAATAATTAATAAAACGAAAAAACAAGGAGATTTGTTTTTTTTTTTTGTTAACTATACGTTAAAAAAATATTTTTTGAGTATTTTTTTCATAAAATTGTTTTTAATTTAAAGAACGGTTAAGAAAAATCACGGATACACATTATTTTTTAAAAAAAGTATAAACTATTATGAGCACATTAAAAAAAAAAAAAAAATTAAAAATATTAAAACTTACCTTGCGCTCAAAGCCTTGTTACTTGGGTACTATTTGGAGCATTTTTTGGGTTGTTTTGACCCTTGAGCGCAAGGTAAATCTCAACTTTTTTTTTTTTTGTAATCTTTTTTTTTATATTTGCCCCAAATTTAGCTTGTTGTGTATTCGCGTTTTCAAAATTTTATTTTTTTGAACGCCCCTATTGTGTACATATCACATTTGCAGAGGTTAAAAAAAATCATCAAAAGGCTGCAGTTATGAACTTTCGGTAAATAAACATAAACATCGCGTTGAACATGTTGCTAAATCAAGTAAAATAAAAAATCTAGTTTTACAAGTTTATAAGTTTAAAAAAAGTTTTTCAAAATCCTGGTCTTGAAATTGGTGGATTGATGCATTCGCGTCAATCCAACAGTCGGTGTCGAACCTCGGACCTTTTGTACAGTATTGGATTGATATTAGTAAACTGTAAGCTAACGTTTTTTGTTTACAAAAAAAACATATGTACAAAATGTGTTTAGTACATATGTTTTCATTTTGTCTATGATTTTTATACAAATTTTAAAACATGAATATTAAGTTAATACGCTAAGCAATCTTTGTGAACTTTAAATAATTCGTTTAAGAATATTATACCAATATTAAATTTACATCTAAGAACAAATTTAACAATGCAGTTCTTAAAAACCTTTATTAACATTTAAAAAAATACATTTACGTATAAACGTACAAAAACCTCTTTGTAAAGTTTATAATATTCATTATTGCGATACATTTTTCCATAGAAAGATCTTTAAGATGAATTCTGCAGTATTCTCTACACTGATAATTTGTTTGACATGACTCAGTTCTAATGTTAGCTGGATTTTTTTCAGTTTTATCAACGATTGGCTTCTAAAAAAAAATACAAATTTATGTTAGTATACTTGTATTAATAAGTTTACCTATATATATAAATTTTCATTGAAAAATATACTTTTAATTGATATTGTAATTTATTCTCATTGGATAAATAAAGATAAACCATGATACTTGCTATGTGGCCTGCGTATGTCAATTAGCCATACGGTGGTCACATACCAAGACCAGTAGAAGACAAGATGAGCGTCAAAACCCATCGCCATGAGCCAAGATAGGCGAGTTTAAAAGAAAAAAGTAAGTATCGGTAGTAATCATGTTGGAAAGATAGCATAGAGAAGAGAAATGCGGACAAGCCGGTCAAAACACAAAAACTTAGTAATTATTTCTGACTTTTCATACTTAAAAGTTTCAATAAGTGTTTTTTTCCGTATGTACACAATAAAAATACAATATACAATAATATTAAAAACTAATAAACTTTCTTCTCATTAGTTACTAACTCATTTGTAAATGTATGTACATTTTGCTGTAAGTACAGAAAATGAGAACCCTGATATGGAAAAAAATAGAAATAATTCGAATTACCTTGCGCCACTTTTCTGAAGTGATAAAGGCCTCGTTTTCATAAACTATTATAGTAAAAATCAAAATAAGTGTTATCACTTTCTTCATAATATTTATGTATATAAATCGTTCACAAATACTGTGATTAATTTTTGAATTTTGTGTTTAACAGATTTTTTTTATTTATTTATACTCATTTTTGTTTTTTGTTTATTATCCCACACAGATATTTTGGGGGCGATCCGGAAAAGCATCTGTTATTCACTTGTAAATCCAAAATTACGCAAGTAATTCAAAAGTGTGAATTAGTGTGTCAATATTTAAAAAATGGTGTTTTCTGATGATTGTTGTAATTTTTCTTTTCTTATCTTTTAAAATGACGCTCACCTATTGTTTTGAATGGTCTGCTATTTTACGTTTTAGTAATTAAAAATTTGTTTAATTCTTTTTAAAATCAAAAACCAACAATTTATGAATTAATAAATTATTTGTTTTTAAAGACAAAGAAGCTCAAATAAGTAAAAAAGCAAAGATTTCGTCTTTTGAAAAACAAAAGGTAAATTAAAAAAAAAATTAACAAGATTCTTTATTTACAATACTTTATCGGACGTGTCTATTTCCTATAGTCTGAATTAGTTGACGATGGTCTTTTAAAATCCGTTTTTTTTTATGTTGAATAATTAAAATTGTTTAAAATTTTAGAAATATCTTAGTAAAAAAATCAAAAAATATTTAGAAAAATTTTTGAGCAAAATCCTAGCAAAATATTAAGAAATACCTAAAGAAAATTGCCCAAGAGGATATCTTGATCTGTTGGATTTTTTTGCGGAAGTTGTCTACTCAAGTAAGTCCAAAATAGAAAACAACAATGCTTCTGAAGAGCCTAAATGTTTCGACGCATTTATTTCCTGCGTATTTCAAGCCTATTTAGCTTGAAATGCGCAGGATTTTTCTTCAATTTTTTAAATTATGTCAAGATTCTTTAATGGATATTATATTCATTTCCAGCAAATTGACCACCGTGTAATAAATGCATCTGCGAGGATAGCGAGGTTATTTATTGTATCATAATACAAAAAAATTGTATTTACTGATATTTCTAAATTAATTGATTCTTATTCTAATTTCATATTTAAAAAAATATCTTTCAGGTTACGCAACTGTTGTAGAATTAGAGTTTAAGAACAAAAAAGAAGTAAAATTTGGCAGTCTTGTGAAGAAATAATATTTGGCCTCTCTACCAAGAGGTTACAACCTTTTCCTTAATAAGGTAAAATTTTTGAAGCCAAATTTTTTAATAGATCATACAAATTAAAAAGATTTTTTTTGTAAAACTTTTCATTCATTATTTTATTGTTTTCCAATTTTTTCTAATATAGGTATGTAAACTATGAAAACTATGTAACTAACCTAATGTAAACCTATGTAAGGGATCGTCCACAAATTACGTACGCTCAGAGGGAAAGAGGGGGTCAACAAATAACGTATATGAGATGGGATATGAAAGAAAGGAGACACTAAGTTAAAATAAATATCATAAAATGTTAGATAAATAGGTTAAAAGCATAGGCACCTTTAGGGAGGTGGAGGGTACTCAAAAAAGCGCATTGCAAAATGCGGCGTGGGGGGGGGGGGGAGGGGGGAATGAACAAAAAAAAAGCGTACGTACTTTATGGACGACCCCTAACCTAAATTTATGTGCTACATAAAAATCAAAAATAAAGCAAAGATAAAAATAAAGAATGAAGCAAGTTTTTAAGGACTTTATTGTTAAAAAAGTTCTTAGGTATGAATTTGATTTCCGTTCAGTAAAATACCCTTAAACTAAAATCAATATTTTATTTGCCTTGTTTTATAATGCTATCTGCATTATAAAACTTACAAAGTATTTACTTACAAATAAATCTTACAAAGTATATACTTGCAAATAAAAAGTTTCAAAACTAATTTTAAAAAATAATAAGTTATGTTATCTAAAAGAAATCATATTCATTTTTTTTTAGTTCAAGAAATTTTGAGTTGTTCCTTTAAACTTTAAAGGAACAACTCGAAATATTAAAGAAATATAAAGATTAAAAATTAAAGAAATATAAATCGATAACTTAAACATTACAGTTGTTCAGTTGTATTAAACTTTTTTTATCTAATATGTTTAAATTTCTATACCTAGTTTTAATTTAAATGAGATGTACTAACATAGAAATATCTGTCAAAATCAGGTCTAATACTTAAAACGGTTCCCAAGAAAACCCTTTGGAGAGATGATCATATATAGTAAGGATGGAGGATATATATAGTAGATTAACTTTGTAAAATATCAAAATCTTTTAATTTTGTCCGAGAGATATATTTTGTTTTTACGATTTTAATGTGCCCTTTAGTTAACAAGTTTTAAGTAAAGATGATTTTCTTTTAACTTTAATTTTGATAAATAATGCTATCAATGTTATAAAAAAAAAAAAAATTACTAAAATAAATATATTTCCACTGCGCAACTGCAACATAATATTTTTTAATTATTATTTATGTTTAATATTATTAAAAGGTTTATTCGATGACTATTACTATCGGTTGAAATTTGGAAAATTTTAAATTGAGTTTTCTCAAAGGCTACTTAACCAATTGTAATGATTTTCTTTTTATAATGATGCTAACATAATTAGTTTTAATATCAACAAAAATAAATTAAGTCTTAACTTTACGACGTGCAAGTAGTATAATTAGTTGTATCATCTCCACAATTTTACTTTGCAGCATTTTTTTTGTAGCATTAACTCATAAATCTTGGAAATTTTTAGTACTATTTTCACAATTGCCTCTTTTCATCGATATACCTTTCACAATTGCCTAGTAAGATTCGATAACTCATTGCTCAGGACAGTTTGGTGGATTAGCATCATTTGGAACAAAATTATCTCTATTTTTCTTATACCACTGCATTACTTATTTGGAATAGTGAAAAATTCTTTTTTTTAAAGCATTCACACACATATACATTAGGTGTCAAGAGAGTGAATTGTTATAAAAGGAGAGCTTTAAAATCTTAATTGCAAATAGCCTGCCATACAAGGAATTTGAAAGTGATTTTCTTACTCAAATTTACTAAAATTTGTCAGAAGTTTTGTAATGTTTCGACTGATAATATTACTGATTACGTGAAAGCATCGAGTGATCTTTTTTACAGTAAGTTACATCGTCTTTTAAAACGCATAAATTTTTTTTGTAAATAATTTAAGCAAATTTTTAGCTCACCCAATTGTCTTGATTTCTCCATCAAGCGACCTTTTTTGTACTTTTTTCTTGTAATATGCTTTCAGATTTTCTTTTTTGAATACTCTTTGAACAAAAGCTTTTTTGCATTTAAACTACGTAGCTAAATCTTGTTGTGGCTGAGTCGGATTTTAATAAACTGAGTCGACTATTGATCTTGCTTTCCTTTTGGAAATAATCTTGATTTTCCAATTTTCCTTCCAATTTTCTTTTTACAGTTTTTTTTTCCTTAAAACATTTAAAAATAATTGCAACAGTTGATTTTGGAACTGTACATGCTTTTGAAATTATTTTTTTTTTCGATTTTCAGACTCTTTACTCGACATTACAAAAACTAATGAGGAGTAAACAAAACTACACTCACACACAAGAAAACTAATTATGTTAGCATCATTATAAAAATTCGAAACACTTGATTAAGTGGTTTTTGAGAAAACTTAAAATAAAATCTTCCAAATTTCAACCGAAAAATGATATTTAAAAATATCAATTGTAAATTTTATGTTAATTTACGTGAATTCTTAACTTACTTTCTAAAAAAATCAATTTGAATAATGAAAATTGAAAAACAAAAAGAAATTTATAAGAATACATATTAAAGACATCATATTTTAGAAATTTTTGATTGCTTTCAAAAAAAAGTATATTTCTTATTTATTTTCATACTATATGATATTGAGGAAGCTATTTTATAAATTAATTACCCTTATTTCAACATCCTTGGCATTATTGTATAGATTGAACCCTAAGTTTACTTGATAATTGCTTTGACAAAAATTGATGATATCCTCGTTAATTTATTTTTGATTGCCTTTAAAACAATAAACTTCCTCGGTGTATTTTTTTGAGAATAATATTTAAAAAATGAATGGCAGTAATAAGACCCTGCGTTGAGTTGCAGGGTGACGACACGGGTTTCGAAGTGGAGGGACATAATCGTCAATTTCTATAAAAGTCCTCTAAATCTAAAAATTTAGGGTAAAAAAAAAAAAAAAGAAAATAAGTTCTTTAGAAAAAAAAGCGGTTGTTGGTTCTGAGTAGGAAACGGTATAAAAAGAATAACAAAGAAAATAAACACACCGCAAATTAGTAAACTTTGTCTGCGATTGCATTTTCTTTTCCGGATAATGATATTTTTTCCGGATATTGGTAAGAAGGAATTTAGAATTCACTTAAATATTTTTATTTTTTATGTTATGTTTTTTTATTTTTTATAATAATAAGTTTCTTTTTTTTTTTTCTTTTTTATTTGTTGTTTAGGTTCCCCAAGAAGACCTAACGGTCCTGTCACAGAGCACCGCGTAAGTATATTCAACCAGAAATTTCACGCCTCCTTCTTTACCGTGACGCGAAAATATGTCCTGAACTCGTTTCGAACCTGAATCTCCTGCTTCTAAAGCAAGCGCTCTAACTACTGCGCCACGGCCACAGTAGTTTCTAGAAATAATGGATATTTCATTTACGATTTTTTTGGTAATTTTCAATTTTAGAACATACATTATGAATTATGAAGAATACACTTTGAATAAACGAAGTGGTTGCAATTCATACAGGCAGTAGCGGAATGTATGATGAATTATTCACCATTGAGCAATTGGAGAGAGATGTGTCAAAGCACTAAAAATTTAAAACTGCATGTGACAAATTATGAATAGAATGAGCTAAAACTAATCAAAGATAAGCTTATGAGAAGTTTAAATAAACGTGAAAAATTATGTGCATATCACAGGTTCATCAATGCTATTGGATGGAAAGCATCTAAAATGTGTAGCATCCTAATAATGATTAGTTTTAACAAGGAAAAGCACCAACTATCCGATCAGTTCACATAACAATGTTAACATCAATATTTACCATGAACAAGTCAAATCTTCCCATTGGCACTGTTATGTGTTATTCCAATTTAAACGAAGTACAATATACTACTAATCTCCTTCTAATAACTCTCCTTCGCAACAAAAGATTTTAATGATTTTGATTAGGACCAAAAGAGATCGTTCATAAGAATGTTTGAAACTCAAGTAGTGAATCCAGTACAATTTCAAATAAGTAAAAAAACTTTTTCCAAACCCGGTCCCGGCAAAGTTATTTTAAGATTTAGCAGGGGTTGATAGCCAGGGATAG